AGTATAGCAGGGATTGTGGGGCTGGCACGGGATCGGGCAGTGTTTCGTTCTGCTGTGCATGGGGTCGCTATGAGTAGGAAACGACTCGACGGCACTTAACAACAACAATCTATGTTTGGGAATTTTCCTTTTATTCTTATTTTGGTGAGTTTTATCAGGAAAAGATACTGGATTTTATCAAATATCTTTTCTATATCACTTGATATGATCTTGTGATATTTATTATGTGGTAAATTACATGATTGATTTTTTTTCTTGAATTTGATGTGATTTTCTAATGTTCTAATACCATGTATCCCTGGTATGAATAATACCTGGCTGGGATGTATTATTATTTTTTTTTTTTGTATTAGTTTTTTGATATGTTGTTGAATTCTATTGACTGGAATTTTGTTGAGAATTTTTTCATGAGAGATATTGGTCTGTAATCTGTCCTTTTTCTTTTTTTTTTTATTTTTTTCCAGTGGTATCTTTGCCTGCCTTTGGTATCAGGGTTATGCTGGCTCTGTAGAATAAATCAGGCAGTATTCTTTCCTTTGAAAGAATTCTCAGTTTGAATAGAACGGGTGTCCACAATTCTCTTACTGTTTGACAGAGTTCTCCAGTGAAGCCATCTGGGTCAGGGCTTTTGTGGGTTTTTTTTTTTTTTTTTTTTTCCTAAATAACAGTTTCTATTTAGGTTTTCTCTGCCTCTCTGTGTTAGTTTAAGTAGGTAGTGTGTCTTGAAAATTGTCCACTTATTCTAGGTTTTCAAATTGATTAAAGTACAATATTTCATAATAATCTATTATGATCCTTTTATTTTTTTTAAATCTCAGTTGGTTCTGTTGTAATGTTCATTTTTTTTCTTTGTCAATTTGACCAGTGGTTTTGTCAGTTTTACTGATTCTCTCAACTAATCAACTTTCAGTTTGTTGATCTTCCTATTGTTTTTCTGATTTCTGTCTATTTCTGATCAGATGTGATCCACTGGGTTTTCATTGGCTGATATTCACAAGGAAATATCAGACATTTCTTTCCTAGTCTATCTTCATGTAAGGAGCCCTGGTGATGCACCGGTTAAAGCATTTGGCTGCTAACCAAAAGGTCAATGTTTCAAACCCATCAGCAGCTCTACGGAAGAAAGATAAAGCAGTCAGCTTTCATAAACATGTACAGCCTTGGAAACCCTATGGAGCAGTTCTATTCTGTTGTATAAGATCACTCGAGTCAAACTTGACTTGATGGCACTGGGTTTAGTTTTTATCTTAGTCTATAAGCTTCACTGACATGGGTGATTGTGCAAGAGGTAAACTGGCCATGAATCAAATTTGGTTCTCCCATAAAGAATGAGAGAATTCTACCAATGAACTACCAATGAACACCTTATTAAATTACTAGTTAGTTAAATACATTTTAACATATCCATACAAAGCAATACTGTAAATCCAAACAGCCCCTTGTTTTCTTAAGTACTGAATGTTCAGAATGGTTTTTACATTTTTTTAATTGTTACGTCTTAAATGGCTACTTAAGTGTCTATAGCTGCTGTCAGATGGATCTTGCCTCAAGGCAAAGAATACTAGAAAAATGTTTACTTGTGCTTTATTGACTATGCAAAGGCATTTGATTGTGTGGATCATGAAAAATTGTGGATAACATTGAGAAGAACAGGAATTCCCAAACACTTGATTGTACTCATGAGGAACCTGTACATTGACCAGGAGGCTGTTGTTAGAATGGAACAAGGGAACACCACATGGTTTAAAATCAGGAAGGGAGTGAGTCAGGGTTTTATCCTTTCCCCATACTTATTCAATCTATATGCTGAGCAAATAATCCGAGAAGCTGGACTATATGAAGAAAAACATGGCATCAGGATTGGAGGAAGAATCATTAACAACCTGTGATATGCTGACAACACAACTTTGCTTGCTAAAAATGAGGATGACTTCAGGCACTTACTGATGAAGACTGAAGAATACAGTCTGCAGTATGGATTACATCTCAATATAAAGAAAACAAAAATCCTCACAACTGGACCTATAAAAGCAGCATCATGATAAATGGAGAAAAGATTGAGGTTGTCAAAGAATTCACATTGCTTGGTTCTACAATCGACACCAATGGAAGAAGCAGTCAGGACATTAGACAACGTGTAGCACTCGGCAAGTAGGCTGCAAAGGAGCTGTTTCCAGTGCTGAGAAACAAGGATATCTCCTTGAGGACTGAGGTGCACATGACACAAGCCAGATATTTTCAATCACCTCATATGCATGTGAGAGCTGGAAAATGAATAAGAAAGACCAAAGAAGAGTTGATGCTTTTGAGGTGAGGTATTGGAGAGGAATGCTAAGAGTACCATGGAGTGCTAAAAGAACTAATATATCTGTCGTGGAGGAAGTGTAGCTGAAATGCTTCTTGGAAGCGAGAATGGCTGGACTTTGTCTCACCTACTTTGGCCATGTTGTCAGAAGGGACCATTCCCTGAAGAAGGATGTCATGCTGGTAAGGTGGAGGGTCAACGAAAGAGGGGAACGCCTTCAATGAGATGGACTGACACAGTGACTGCAATGATGGGCTCAAGTATAGCAAGGATCATGGCGCTGGTGTGGGATTGGGAGGTGTTTCATTCTGTTATACATAGATAGGGTCGCTATGAGTCAGAAATGACTCAATGGCACCTAACAACAACATGTAATAGCCTCAATTTTGCCTCTTACTCAGAAAAGCTTCAAATATTTATAATCTGGCTTTTTAAGAAAAGTTTACCAGACCAGCCACTCCTTGGAAGGAAGATGGGGCAATCTACTTCCATAGTGATACTGCCTCGGAAACGCAAGGAGGGACTGCTATGAGTCGGGTCCGACTCGACAGCACATAACGACACAACAACACTATAAAGGAATGAAAATAAATGATTTGTTTACATGAATGAATCTCAGAAGTGTATACTGAACAATGGAAAAAACATTTTTTAAAAAAGTTTTAGAACAGTATCATAGGTTGTTTACAGACACATGCGTATGTAAGAAAAGTAGAAAAAAGCATGCATGAGAGTGATAGCTACCAATCGCAGTATAGTGGCTACTTCTAACAAGGAAGGGAGAGGAATGGGTTCAGCAGAGGTACATGTGGAATTTCAATGGTCACTATAATGTTTTATTTCTTAAGCAAGGGCATGGGGAATCAGGTGTTACATATTTTTATTGTTTTTGGTATAACTGAAATATTTCATTAAAAGAAACTGAATGAGAAAAAAGATAAGAGAATGGTATGAAAAAGTTAAATAAGACATGTATAAGATTTTTTTTTGTACCATAATGACATACGCTAATATATTTGGGACACTTCATAATTTATTTCAGTATATCCCCAATATTTTAAAGTTTCTAACATACTGTATGTATTAAGTATTAGTTGACTGAATGAATTGAAACTCTAACAAAAAGCAAGAATATATAAGAACAATACTTACCTTATGAGGTTGTTGAGACTGGTTAGAATTCACAGAAAGTATCTAGTAAACACTTTGTGCATAGTAAGCATTAATGATAACTCTTATCATCTTAGGGGAGAATGTATTCAGACATATTCCTAATAACTGAAATCAAATTAACTTTACTTAAAAGAAAGTTTAACTCTTAGAAGACAATAATTCTTACCTTATCAAATTTAACGCTCATAATCCCATGTGCTATGTATTATTTCCCATTTTGATATACGAGGAAACAAGTTCAGAGTACTACTTGCCTTGGGGGTCACCCAGTCAATTTTAGAACCTGAATTTAATACCAAGTCTGCGAGATTGCAGGGTCCCTAATGCTAATACTGTCTTTTCTGTAAATGATTAAATAGCACAGACAAACTATTATACATCATACTAAAGATAACTATATTATACATATATCAGATATTACCCAGAGTGATCAAGACTTTTCTTCTTAGCCAGGTCTGCCTCACCACTTTCCAATGACTTATCCTGGGAATCGGAAATTTCATCATGGTCAATAATACTTCCAGAATCTTTAGCATTTAACAATTTCTGGGCTCTTGCACTGCCTCGAGCAGCTGTCTTCTGTCTTTTAAATGGAACAGTTTTCCTTTCAATATTCTTAGATAACTGATTGATTTTTGTAGCAGGTTTTTGTCTTCTGTTGTGATGCAATGGTGATTTGTTTTTTTTTAAGGAACTGCTACAAACAGGACCTAGAGGATTGAATGATAACCTAAATTAGCATAACACCTGTCCAGAATATCTGATTCACAGAATCTGTAAATATTGTCTATATCTACACATAAACACACTTACACTGATCTCATAGGCTAAATCTGTACTCAAATTAAATTTTTAAACTATGCAGTACTTCAATTTATAAAGACATGAAACTCTTTAAATTTATCATAAACTTCCAAAACGACCCTCCATGGCTCTCCCCACTATTCTTCTGGCTATCCTAGTGTTCTCCAAGGTTTCAGCTTTAGCTTCTCATTCTACATTATCATTTGTGTGGCCTATTCACCCCATGGCTTTAATCATGATCTATATTTGGGGTCATTTACTCTACATGGAATCAGAAAGACCAATTGCTAGAAATGGCCATCACGGTTGGTAAAGTGGAGAGTCAGAGAGGGCGAGCGAAGCCCTTGCTGAGATGGACTGACACAGGGGCCAAAACAATGGACTCAAACATACCAATGATCATGAAGATGTCACAGGACTGCGTAATGTTGCATTCTGTTATACATAAGGTCACTGTGAGTTGAAGCCAACTCAATGGCAAGCAACTAACAATTTGCTGATTATCTTTATGTTCACCTACCAGTTTGCCTCAAACTCAACACTCTTAATAAAAAATGACAACCATCTACCCAATTACCTAGATTAAAAAAAAAATCATCCAAGACTTCTGCCCTACCTACAATCAATCACTGAATCTTATCAGATCTACTTTCCTAATGTCTCTCAAATCTGCTTCTCTCAAACTCTCCTGACATTAACAGACGCCCTCTTGTGCTTTACTAACACAGAATCTTAACTACATAATCTCCCTTTTTCTAGCCTTGATGTTCTTAAATCTATTCATCACACTGCTCAAGAATTATTTTTTGAGAGGACTTCTGGCAAGATGGCAGAATAGGCTGACAAGGTACAAAGACCCTCTACAACAAAGAAAAGAGAAACCAATTTAAATAGATGCAAAAGATAAGCCTGGACCCCTGGACTTCAAAAGGGAAGGATAAAAAAAGTGGATTAAATATTGACTAGTAGAAGAGCCTGAATGAAAACAACAAATAAGGAGACAAAGGATCTGTGGACTGTTGCCTAGTCTGACAGTGTGGCCATTTTGAATATTCACAAGCCACATTCCAATCTGGGCAGCAACCTGATTATCAGTTCTGCTTGCCAAGAACTGCATGGGCAACTACACTGGTGGACGATAACCAGAAAGATGTAATACTGCCCTCATTCCCCATACCATCCCAGTGAACAGAGGTACAACTGCCTGCACCCACCTTCTGGACCAACAGGAATTCCATTCCATATGGGGTGCTCTAGAAAGTCAGGAACTGGTATCAGGACTAGGCACTCTGTCCCCAGCCACCTTTTGGGGAGTAGGTACTTTTTCTGAACCAGATACCCCACATCCCACATTTGGGACAGCAGAAGTTTTCCAGGGAGTAGGACCCTGTGCCCAGTTACTTTTGAGACGGCAGGAATTTTGTCTAGGACCAGATGCCCTGCCCACACCTGGTTTTTTGAGCTGGCACAAACTTCCTTTGGAATCAGATGCCTTGCTACCAATCAATCACCTTTTAGACTTGCTGGAACTTTTCCTGGGTACAGGCACCCTGCCCTCAGGCACCTTCTGAAACAGCAGGAATTCATCTAAGGTTAGGCACTTTGCCCATGTTGCGTTCTTGGTGGATAGGAACTAATTTGGAGATGAGCTGCCCTGCTCCAAGCAGCATTTTGGTTTGGCAAGAACTTTTGCTATGATCAGGACCCCTACACTAAGCTCCCTTTGGGGACAGGAGGAACTTTTTCTGAGATCAGATACCTTGTACCAAGTTGCTTTTTGAGCTGGCAGGAATTCCTTCTGGAACCAGATGCTTTACCCCTAGACATCTTTAGGATCAGCAGAAACTCATGTGAGATTGCGTGTGCTGCCCCCAGTTTATTTCTAAATAGAAAGGAATTATACCAGGACAAGATGCCCTGCTCCCTGCCACCTGGTTGGCCAGTAGGAACATAGCCCAGGTGCCCTGCCCACCCTGTTTTGTTTTTCATTGCTTGTTACTTTTTAAGTTATTCTTAATTTTCTTTCTTTTTAGTGTTTTGTATTTGTTTCTACCTCTTTCCTGGTTCTTGCTATTTTTCCCCATTTTCCTGGTTTCCTTTTTATTTCTCTTTTTGTTCTTCCTATTCCTTATTTTTCTTTTTGTATGTTCCTTTTTTTTTTTTCTTTATTACTCTTTCTTTCTTTGCTCTCTTTGTCCTCCCGTCTTGTACTTTTTTCTTCTCATTTTTATTTTATTAGTGATGTCGGTTTTTTGATCCCACTCAGTGGGAAATAGCAACTGTGCCCACATGACCCAACTACATGCATACCTCCTACAGCCCCATTCACTGGGCAAAGGTCATCATCTGCTTCTCATCAACCAATCAACACCAGCCCAACTTGGATTAAACTTTTCTACATGAACAGCTAACAGAGAGCTGTGCATACATTCTGACCCTCCATCATACCCACCAGAAAACAAGTGAACTGCCTAAGAGCTGCCAAAGTAGCAAACAGAGTAGCATACCAACCCTTCTCACTCAGATATATTACAACATAAAGCGGAAAAAAAAAAAAAAAAATCTGGGTGAAGCACACCAACACATAATCACCAATTAAATATAAATGCAACATCATCACGATGTCTTGGAGATAAGTGAAAACCCCATTACACAGAAAGAAGTAAGACAAAGTAGCACAAAAAGGGACAAAAAGAGCCAGAAAACCTCCTTGAGGAAGAAGGTGTTGGAACTACCTGGTAAGTATTTCAAAAGAATTATATTTAAGGACCTTCAATGGTCTGGGAGACAGCTCAAGTAAAATATAAACAAAACCAAGAAAAGTGGTGACAAAATTAAGAACAACACAGCCAAAATTCTAGAACAATTTAGGAAAACAATACAAGAACAAACTGAAAAGATAAATGAAAAACCAGAAATAGACATCTCTAATATTAATACAAAGATTTTAGAAATAAATAACATTGAGGAGGCAAAGGAGCAGAAGTGAAACAACAGAAAACAGAATTAGTGAAACTGAAGACAAATTTCTCAATACTATTTTAAGGGATCAATCAGAAAAAAGATCAAAACAAAATGAAGAAAAACTATATTTATGTGAAACACCATCAAGAGGAACTTAATTCCAGAACAGGAAGAGACAAATAGAACCACAGAGAAAATTGTTGAAGATTTGTTGGAAGAGAACTTTCCAAATATGATGAAAGATCAGAAGATATACATTCAAGAAGGCCAATGAACCCCAAAGAGGAGAAACCCCAGAAGAAAATTATCAAGACATATCAAAACCAGACAAAGAAAGACTCTTGAAATCAGCACAGAAAAACTAAAAAGTTACCTATTAAGGGCATCCAATAAGACTAAGCTGTGATTTCCTGGCAGAAACCATGCAGACAAGAGGACAATGGAATGACATACATAAAACTCTTAAAGAAAAAATTGCCAGCTGTCTTTGCTCTCCATGTGCTGCTATAACAAACACACCACAAGTAGAATTTATTCTCTTACAGTTTCAGAGGCTAGAAGTCTGAATTCTGAATTCCAGCTATAGGGGCTGGGTGAAATCCCCTTGACCTTGGGCTACAGTTCTGCCTCTTATTCCAGGCCCAATGGAGCTGGAGGCTTCTTGTAACTCTTGCAGCTGCCGGCTGCTGAGGCTGATGAACTCAAAGTCGACAAGTAGAATGGTACTCCCAAGATCAACAGGCATAAGACAGGCCACTAGTTCAAGTCACGAAACAATCCCAAAACTGGCAGGTAACAAAGCAGGCCACTAGTTCACATCCAAGAAGTAGAGATAAAGACTCACCTAAATAAAGAATCTAAAATGGGCCAAAGAGCTGAGACCTTTCTCAAAGCTTTTCCATAGATACTGGAAGCAGTCTAAACACTGAAGGCAACTGCTTAGCTGCTCACAGAAAATTTCACCATGGAGGTGATCACAATCTCATCATGGTGAATAACTAACTACATGCAAGGTCTCCACCACTCAAAATCACAGCCCAACCAAGTTGACACACAATCTTAACCACCCACCAACAAAGAATTATATACCCAGCAAAACTGTCCCTCAGATATGATGGTGAAATTAAGATATTTCCAGATAAAAAGAAATTAAGGGAATTTGTTAAAATCAGATGACCCTCACAAGAGAGGCTAACAGGAGTCATTTGGATGGAGAACCAACAACAGCAGACAACAATCAATGAAGAACACACATAGGAACATAACTCAGAAACCAACCTGTATATAGAAGTATCCAAAGTAAAATAAGCTTACAAGAATGTAAACAGTGAACCAGAGACATTAATCAGTAAATCAGAACAACTACAAACCAAAAAGAGGGTGTATACACAGAACTTCCAAATGGATAGGAAGTCAACACAATTTCAAGATAGATACATTGTTTTAAACTTGGAAAGAAAATAATAAATCACAGAGTATCCTCAATGAACAATAACCCATCTCATCAGAATAAAAAGAAGAAAGGCATAAACATTTAGCAAATACTAAAACAGTATCAATGAAGGAAATGATAAAATAATTTATAAGAAAAATGAGCTCAGCACATAAAATTATATTTAACAAGGAAATCAACACCACACATACAAAAAAAAACACTTAACAAAATGACAGCAATATATTCATTCTTGTTGATAATTATACTGAATGTAAATGGATTAAATGCACCAATCAGGAGAAAGTTGAAGAACGGATAAGAAAACATGACCCATCACTATGCCGTCTACAAGTGAAGTACATTCGACGCAAAGACAAAAAAAGACTAAAAATCAAATGTTGAAGGAAAAAAAATAAATCACGCAAATGGCAATCAGAAAAGAGCAGAAGTGGCAGTATTAATTTCTGATAAAGTAAACTATAAGACAAAAACTACCATAAGCAACAA